GTACATGATATACAAAAACAAATCGTTAAACAAAACGCATGTTCGCTGTTAAACAAGTCGTTCACTTAACTTTAATATCACATTTCGTTTTAACAATTCTTGCGTGGCTTCATATGGAAGGCTATACAGGTTGGCTTCGAAGCAAGCTGTAAATTAATCGTTTTATATACTGACATATTGGAAGACATAATATGTACTAGAATAATATAAATTAATGGCAGTTATAGAGTAATATAAGATAACGTAGTGTTTATTGTAACACCTTGCAGCCAGTAAGAGTCTCACATAATAGAGATAGAAGAAATTATTAAAAAATTGTCTAATTATTCTAAAAGTTGCGGATATTTTGACATTATAGATCACCATTCCATATATGTTTACCACAGTTGCGTATAAACAGCAATTCTCCACTACAGAGGTATTTCGTATAAATCTTTCTATAATACAATCTAGGTTTGTGCAGAAGCTAGCAGGTTGAACTCTACATTTTCAGCTAGGAATATTGTTTTGTGAATAAGTCTAAAATCTGTGAAGCAGTACAATATAATGATGTTCCTACTAGCTTCTGAACGTTTACACAAATTCTAACTTTTTGTTTGCACAATGCTGACCAAATAATAGAACATACATTAACATCAATTAGAAATCAGTATACACAATGATGATATTTGGACACATGTCAGCATTGCAAATTGGTTTCACAAAACCTATTCCTAAGCACTTCAGCACACATTTCCAGACACAATATAAGTTCAAAATGTACTGTCACTTGGTATATTTGAACTTACATAATATACAGACCATAGTATTTGTAAATTTACAATAAAGAATGAATTGAAAATTATAACAATTTACATGATTGAGCACAACCCAGAGAGCTCATTACCTTGGTTGACTGGAGGTTGTATGCTGAACTGGACACCCTGAAGTGCAGGTTTCAATGTGTACTCTAGTTCAGGCTCCTCACCTGGTGGCAAGGGCTCACTACCAGCACTCACGTCCTCCAGTATTTTTTCTTCTTGGTTCTTAGTCACAAAGGATTTGGAGATGTTGATTCGGATTCCTCCAATGGGTATAGAGGCTGCGGGAATGCTTACTGCATCCAGTTGAAAGTTGCCGTCGATAGATGACTCCACTGTTGGATTTGTGTGGTCTATTCGCGTTGGGATGGTTTCTTCTTCAGCAGTTACCATAGGTTCGTCATCTAATGAAATGAAAAAATCATGTATAAATTAAATGTATAAAAGCAAGGAAGGATACGATATTTGAGATATTTCAAAGTTTAAAATATAGTAGAAAAAATTAAATAGTAACAAAAGGATTTGTTTTGTGAATAAAAAAATAGAAAGTTTAGTTACTGTAATGAGTCACAGGTATTCTTTATTTCTTTGCCTCATAGTTCAGAACGTATTGAAGAAATTGTTAGCAACTGACTTGTATATAAATGAATGTGTAATGTTACTCACCGAGATCGATGGGTTCCTGCTTGACCTTGATCTTACTGAAATCAATCTGTGCGAGACGGTCTCGTTCAGCTCTTTCAGCAGTAAGCTCGTCATCCGTTTCAGCGTCATCTTCAACGACAACCTCGACCACTGGCTCTGGTAGAAAAACGACGTCATCCTCGTCATCGATCTGGAAAGTTTCAAAAGAAATAAATATAGAAAGAAGGTAATGTATGTATGAATAATGTGCATAAAATATGTATGTTTGTGAAGTGGAAAATTCAATCGGTTTAATTTGGATGACTACAACACTACCCACTAATAATTCAAATGATGTTAAAGCTTATCGCGAGATTTGCAAAATTAAAAGTGTGTCAAATACTTACGTCAACGGGGTCCAACTCCTTCGGGTCCTCGACGACCTCAACTACAGACTCATTGTCAGACTGCTCTGCAGTCTCATCCACATCTTTGATCTCAATTGCTTCCTCTTCCATCTTTTCCTCAGATGCGACGTCCTTAGAGGACTCCTTTGCTTTAGGTTCTCCTGCCTTTGTTAGTGGCGTTTTGTAGTCTTCGAAGCAGAGTGGATGATAGTAATCATCTTTGTGTTTGATAGCATTCCTGAGGTGCCATTCCTCCTCGTCGTCGTTGAAGAATTGTTGGAACATATCTCCGCAGAGCGCGCAGCAGTGTGAGGTGAACGCCGGCGCCGGGGCCGACGGCGCCTCCGCCGTATCCTCGGCTGATGCCGCGGGCTTACCCCCCGTCTCGAACCAACTCTTTTCTGCAATGGAAAACATTTATGTTAGTAAAATATAAAAAAGCAACTTAATGTAATAATTATTCATTTCAATCATCAACTAAATTCGAATAGATACGTTACCTCTCTCCTCCAAGTCCTCGACCTCCTCATACTTCATCCAGTCGGAGCGGTCGTAGTGCCAGGGTCGTGAGTGCGCGCGACGCGCCGCGTCCCTATGGCGTCGATTCTGTCGGAAGTGCCAGTCCAAGTGTTGCGAGTATCGCAACGTGTGCACGAGTGGGAACCGAATCGCACACCCTGAACACTGCATCCCATCGTACAACTTAGCCACCAGTCCTGGTTGTTTACTAAAAAGAAAACAAAGCATTTAGTATCTTTATACAACTTCACAGTATGGAACTTATCAGTGACAAGGAATAAAATACTTACACTCTTAATGTCTCGGGATTCATCAAGTCTACTTTATGAATGTAATTCTTTTCTTCCCTTGGTCTATTCTCAACTTCTTCAGGTTTATTTTTCACTTCCTCTTGAGGCTCTGGCTGGGTAGTGGTCGGCACTTGCACAATACCAGTCGCCACAAGCTTAGCGAAAAGGTCGTTGACATTAATGTTGCCTAATATTGGCAGTACTGGAGCTGGTTTCTCTTTCATGGGTGTCTCAAGTCCAGAGATCTTGTCTGTTTTGGAGAATAGATGCTCGGCCACGCTGTACTCCGAGCCGGGGGCGGGCACAGTACTGGACGGCATGAGGCTCGCCAACATGTCGAGGTCAGGTTCAGAGGTGGGCGTCTTCACCGGACGCGCAATGGGTTGTTCTTGTTGGTCAACTTCTATTGGGTTTTCTTTTTTAAGTTCACCAACTTTTTTGACGGGTGGCAGCAGTGGCAAGCCTATACCTTCCATATTAGCAATCTGAACATGTCCAGGCTTTATATTTCTCGGCAGAGCGGAGAACCTTATAAAATATTTCTCACTGCCAACAACGATGGGCTTGGGAAGGCCTCCAAACTCTGCTTTAAAAGGCTGTTCATTGATTAAAACTGTGCGCAATGAATCTACGAAGCGCACGGTCAGATACTGTCCGTTGACCAAAATCTTTTGTACCTTTGCGTCCAAGTACACTGGATGCACCTGTGTAGCGTTCACAGTGAGGTTGATCTTACCGGCTACCAAGTCGGTGCGTTTAGCTTTACCTATGTCCACTTGAGGCATAGGCCCTTCTACATAAACAAATTTTGGTCTACTGTCAATAATTACGCCAAATGGCTGTCCACCGAAGAAACATTCGTACCACCTACCGTTTATATACAGTTCTCGTGTCGGTGCACCAAATTTAATATCGAATACTTGATTATCAAACTCCACTTGCTTGTAGCCTTCACTGAATGTTAGTACTACTGAGTGTTTATTGTCGAACGTTACTCGTCTGCATCCAGGAAGGAACTTGATTTCCCTTGGATCATCCCAATCCAGCATAATTACGGCGGTGTTACCGTAAAACCTGATTTCCCGAGGTATACCATCAATTTGGATGGTTTTGAAGGGGTCCTGATCTATATATTCAATGACTTTAAAATCTGTCGGTGGGATTGCGAAGCCTGGAGCTCCCAATGGAGGTGGAGATTCGCTTCGTTCGTAAGGTGTTAGCGGACACTCTCCTTGACACATACCAATTTTGGGTGTAGGTAGAGGAGGCATCGCCATACGAGGATCGAAAGGCGGTCTAACAGCCCTCTTATCAAACTTGCCGGCTCGGAAATATGGTGGCATTGGACCTCGGAATCGTCTAGGTCCGAATTCGTCACTTGCTCGTGGTCTTGGTCCTTCCCAAGGCTTTTGTTGTTGATAAGGGTCCAACATTGGCATCATGGGCGGGATGGGAAGCAAACCATTTGTTTTCAAATCAAGAGCTTCAGCATCGTATCGCATACACATGTCAGCAAATCTGTTTCGTTCATTAGGCGACAATTTCGGGCTTGGAACTTTGTTGTTTTTCTGTTTGGCCTCCTTCAGCTCGAGTTTATCATTAAGTTGAAGAATTTGGTTCATTAATTTGTTGTATTGGTTCTTGTCCAATTGCCCATCTGTAAGGTGTTCCTTTGCTTGAGACATTATATTTGAAATAGATTTTTGGCATTCAAAGAAGCTTTGCTCATTATCTTCTCGAAGGTTACAATCTTCCCTTGAGAAAGTAGGTTGTCTTTCTTTATGATAGTTGCCCAATTCCTTGGCCGCCACCAACTCCGACGTGGACGTGCGCTTCTTCGCAGCAGGTGGCAGCTCTGTCCACACATTGTCCCGCTTACGTTTAGCGGGCACAGCTTCGCCGTCTTGCCTGGTTTCTGGCCGGGTTATTTTAGGAATCCGTAACATTTTGCTAATTGTCTTTGGGTCAGGCAACTTATTGACATAAGCAGGCATCTGATTACGCTCCGTTTCAGGTTTAGTATTGGTATGGTTGCATTCTGACTCTGCTCGAAGTAGATCTTTAGACCTCCGTTTCTGTTGCTCACTCAGATGAGTACGGCTCGCGTCGCAGCGTGGGTTGGTTGGTGTCACGTCGGCGACAGGCGGTGAGGGCGTGGCGGGTACAGTACTGGCGGGTTGCTGTAGACGCGCCAGTCGCGGGTCGCGCCGCTGCCAGGCTCTAACAGGGGCGATACTCTTAGATACCGGCTGCAACAAAACAAATTATGTTATCAAACGATGTCAACAGAATACTAAATGCTAAAAGAACGTGCAGAGCTGTTGCACAAACATCGTAAATGTACTGAATAACTTACCGGTCCGCGCCGCTGATCGGCGGCCGCATGCGCAAGAGTAGGCGTGGCCATGTTGGCGGCGCTTACATTCGTGGGGGCTGTGCCCGGTACCTGCAAAAACGCTGCGATTAGTACTGCGACCCATACACTATTTCTGCGATTTTTATAAGTTATTGGCGCTATAATTAAGATTAACACCATATTATCTAAATAAGTTTGGATCTAAGCCGCTTGGAGGGTGTTACACATCTACACACATCACAATGTTATAGGCTTGTGGCACAGACATATGACTGATAATAGTTACTTTTTGCTTTTTTTTACCATTCTTTTGATTCTAGTTCCTAATATTTGAAGTCGGCTTCTTATATAAGTGGTTTCAGTGTTCCCATAAAAATACGGATACGCCAAAGTATTAATGATTAGTAATTTTAAATAGTAGTAGTAATAAGTAATTGTAAATTAATATTACTTAATGTTAAAAAATAATATAAGTAGTAGGACGTAGTTAGCAGTAGAACAGGCGTTACCAGCCGCGTGGCACCTACGAAGTGTCCTACGTGACAATACGCCCGTAGGATGCGGTGCGGAGCTGCGCGAAACGACGCGGAAATGATCACTTGGTTTAGTATTTACGCGCGAAGTGACGGTAATGTTTATTAAGATAAAGGTACAATTGCATATGTTTTATGATTTTATAGATATCGACTAGAAACTTGTAATGAGGTACTCAAGAAATTAAACAATAGATTGAATATTTAATATATTAAGTTTTAAAAAATGCCTTAAAACCGTTAACTAGGTTAAAAATATAAAAAGAGACGTCTTTTCTGTCTTTCACACACAACGGCAAAAATTGTATCACGAAGGGTGAAACAGAGTTGCACATATTAAAACACTAGACTGCCACAAAGTCCAGTGTAAGAAATAATTGTCAGTAGAGTATATGAGAATTAAATAATAGTTGTAAAATCTCAATAATACTTTGACTAACCTGGGATCGCGAATCCAACAGTAAATGTAAAATAAAAATAAAATATAGATAGTTTCAAACACTTACCAAATTATAAACAACGCTGTTACAATAATACATTGGCACGTATTGCGGGTGCGAATTATCAGGATACATTTTTGAAAAAGTCCGCACAAACACACACTAACTCACAAGAACTCACGATACTACAGGGTAAGTAACGGGTACAAGTCAAGTAGCGAGTAACGATCGGCACGGGATGTATACCGAAACTGAATGTACTAGGTCAGGGATGATCAGGCGCACCTGAGACAATTCGGACAATTGGGGGTGGGGGTCCAATCAGGACGTCATAGAAAGTGGGCGGAGCTTAATCCTTATTGCAAAATTTCACAAAGTTCTTATCTTTTCCATTGTTTAAGCGGCTTGTCTCGTAAATGACTTTTTCTAAGAATTATTAAACAATGAATGTAACTCGTATATGGGGGCAGTAAGTATATTATTGTGGGACAAAAATGTGCATGTGGTATTATTTTGTACAATAATGGACCACCTAGGTATTGATTCAGCAATGGCTACTTTATAAAAAAGCAACTAAACACTAGGTGATGATGGCAAATCTAGCGTCTACCCTATTCAATTCTTATTCCTATGTAAGTATATACTGCGATATCAAAGCATACATATAGAACATTATTAACAGAGCTACCATTGGTCTGAGAAACTCTATCCAGAAAACCTTTCAACTTAAATACTATCCTCGCCTCGGTTTTTCTTAAGGTGAACCATTTACGCATATTGTTGTTTACACGTTATTCCCTACCAGCTATCTTAAAACTTTAATAAATCTGATCACTATATTTATGATTGTTTTAAACCAACTAGCATTCTAGCCGACATGTTACTTCTATAGTTTATAAATATAATTATCGCTATGTCCTGAGCGACCTAGAAGTGAACGCGATTATGAAGCGGTGACACGCGAATTCAATGAGATGTGTTGCGACGCGGCGGTTTTGTCCTATGTACATGCGAATCGTTTCATTATAACCAAACAAAAACATGACAGCACTGCATCCAAATATCACAATTCTCGCGAAAATATTAACCAACCGATCACATCCGCGTCGTTAAGCGCAGCTGCGTGCGTATTGTCACGTAGGACACTTCAATAGGTTTCGACACGACGTAGCGTTACCAGCCGCGTCGCACCATACGAAGCGTCATACGTGACAATACGCCCGTAGGATGCTAGGTACTTGAATATAGATTTTTTAT